AGGTCTTCGGAGTTATCTAGAAATGAGAAGGATTCTTTTACACAGTTAGGATTCACACGTGGAGCTCCCTCAGCAAATCACATGGCACATGATAGATCAAATCCTCACCGTCCAGATTAGAGAATTTTTCTTTTTCTATTTTTTCCATCAGATTATTCTCACATGTGTGAGATGTGTGTTTACCCTCGAATCCGGATAACAATTGAATTTATATGGGGTTTTAAGGATCCGTGAACTAAAAGATACAAAAGGCTTTTAGGTTGAGGGAAATAAAGATAAAGACTCAACAATTGCTGTTAAAGTAAATAATCGCAGAATATAATATTGCTTAGAACAATTGTGCTTGATCCTCACAAGAATTTAGAGAGATCCCCATTTATACATTCTGATTAAGGGTAAAAATAAGGTAGGTAAATTGATTACATCGTGGATCCCTGTAATTACGCCTTAATGGCCTGAAGTGGTTGAGAAAATCACGTTTGGACGAGATATCCGGCGACGCTTGGTCATCCGTTACGAGCCCGGCTTCCGACCTTGTGTGTTTCTCCATCCGGTGGTGATTCCTTTCGAGCTCTGTAACGGTCTCGAAATGACTCGACCTCGGTTGTAGACGTGGCCGTCGTTCTACCTTGCATCCAGGTCGGGTTCGATGGCCCCGACTTGCTCCGGACCGGATCCAACCCGGTCGGGCTCAAGCAAAAAAGGGTATCACCCAATACAATGTGTGAATAAGCATTGTAAAGAATAATAGTGGTTAGTTAGTTATTCTCATAGCATATAGGATTTAGACAAGTGTACATTCTTTTATTCTTTCTAGATAGGATAACTTGTATATATAGGCTGATGAATACACAATGGAAGACACAGAGAAAATTCCTAAATTTTGTCTTCTTCTTTTACAATCTTTCAATGTAGTAGTTTGGTGGACGAAATTAAGATTAGCTTCTCCTATGCAAACACAACTTCGAAAACCGCAAATGTGTGATGAATTTGAGAGGATATTGTTATTACTATAATAATAAAGTCTACGGCAAGAAAATATTTAAGAATCAGAAAGTCGATTAAAAAACCCCCTTAAAATAAATCGGAGCTAACGAAAGCCTATTCTGAAATTACATATATAGGTGAATATTTGAACATCAACTAAGGGCTTTTGCAGATCGGCATGTATTAGCTAAACATTGTGATCATGTCAGGTTACCGTTACTTGTTGAAGCAAATATTTTGTATTATTTTTAAGATTATAAATTTCACATTCCAAGAAACTTACTCGTATTTAGTACTTTTCTTGGATTGCCTAACTAATAGAGTAAAAATTACTTATATTAATGGTATATATAGTTTAAACTCTATAATTATTAGCTAAACATACGATCATCATAATTCAAACTACGTATGACATTTTGAACTGATCAGTTCGAAATTTATAACAACATCAACCTGGCATAATCATAAATAATTATGAGCTCACTCATGTCAAAATAGATAAAACATGGACCGACTCGAACTTTAACTATTTAGAAAGAAAAAAAACAGAATACAAATGTGTGACAAATAAGAGTAAATTCTACGTTTTAAACCTGTTTTTGACGCATGTGATATATCAAATCATTCATGTGTCTAGCTAGGAATACAACTTACCGACTCTCTCTTTTGTATCCTTTTCTTTTTTATTTCTCTTAATTAATTGATCTGTTACAAGTTACAACAGACTGCTATTGCTAGCTTAGATCGGATCTCTCATGCTTGCGTCCTCGGTATAATAAACCTGAATTTGTTTTTCCTCTTTTTCTATTCCGTTTTTTCAACCTATTAATTAAATAAACATTAACAACCAGAAATGAAAGTCAAAGAGAAAAAGATAAAAGGAAAAAAGAGGACTTCCTATCACATGAATTAAATTGCCCGTCACGATATTACCTGTCACATATCATCTGTACATATAATAATTAGTTAATAAACACTTCTGGATTAGTTTTCCTGCTGCATATATAATCATATGAAAATTTGTTTATAAACACGTCTAAACCTGTTTTTCAGCTGCATGACAATATACCATCAATATGCACGGCAAATGAACATTTACGGCAGAAAGTGTCAACGCGTCCATTGCATTTTAAAAACAATATACTTATACTATGTTCGCATCTATTGATACAAAAGCGCTTTAAGGTATATATATAAACCGTCGATGTAAAAATATTTTACACTATCAAGTCATTCAAAAAATATTTAAAAGAATTCTTTTAAAAAAAAGAAATATATAATGTTAAAAATAAAATATAAATATATATTATAATCGATAAATATAACTTGATAATGTAAATAGTTTTATACTGCGATATATATAACCTAAACTCATATATATAAAAAAAAAAAAAAAAAGCACTATGATATTACTCAGCTCAAAATCTAAGATTTAACACGTAAATTTGTGCTTTTTAAATCTCCCCTTTTGAAAAAATGAATAGGACATGCTCAAGTATGGTCGGTTAAGGGAGCGGCACACCGACTCATTTGGTCACATGCCCTGTAAACACTTCCCGGATCCAACGTTAGCTCACTTGTTTCTTTTATAGTGTTTTGACCGTTGAATTATTTTATTTTTTAAGTTTAACTAATATTTAGTACTCGTACGATGTGCAAATAATATTATAATCCTGCTAAATTCTATAAATTAAAAAGAACAAATTATAAGAGTAACTATTGACATAAACTTAAATATTATAGCCTTATATATAGCCAGTGATACAAACAAATAAAAATACAATATGATTCAAAAAAAATACTCCTTCCCTTTAAATTTACATAAAATATTTTTTTATTAAGCTGTTCCAAAAGAATGACACATTTTTGTATTTGAAAATAATTTAACTTTAAATTTTTTATTTTACCCATTTTACATATAATGAGAAGTTCTTACACCCATGCAAATATCATGGCCACACAAAACTATTAGGATCATAAGTTTCAAAAGATTCTTTTTTTCGTTGTTAAATTTCGTGCCAAGTCAAACTATCTCATGTATATTGAAACTGAGTGAAGTCATACTATATAGAGTAATAAAAAATAAAAATACACTTAGTAATAATTTAATTTAATTAAAAAAAATATATTATATTATTATCTCAACATAATAAATTCTCACATCAACATCAACTTCTACCAACCTAAAATTACACGGTGACAAAATTAATATATACATACTTGATAATTCATTAACAACCAATATATTCTAACTTTTGGGAGTTACCAACTTATAAAACAGTTGGATCGTAATTTGCTCAATAATTTTACTAGTTACCTCAATTTTAACCACACAATTAAAGTTATATAATTTTCAACAATTTAAGTGATACCTTTGGGATTTAGTTAAGATTAAGATATTATAATTAAATAAATATTAACCTACTTTAAATATTTTTCTTCCACGATGCACATGTACTAAAAGAAGATGAGTTCGCTCTTATATGTAATTCTTAATTAAATAAATCTTATGATTTTATGATTTTTTTTTTTTTTGTGTAAATAGCAATTTCAAATAATGGCTTTATAGTAACTTGCCACTTGGCTTAACAATAATGCAAACTTTCTTATATATATATATATATATATATATATATATATATATATATATATATATAATCCTCCTCTTTTAATTCGTTCAGACTACATCTAAGTCAGTTTTTGCATTAGTAAAATACATGATAGGCATTGTCATTCTATGCTTTATTTAGCATTATTATTTGCCTAGAACATGCGAACGGCTTTTATCTAGTCAAATTCCTGAAGTAAATTGTCCAACTAATACCCATGTACTTCCAACGAAACTTCTTGAATTCTCAAGAGTCCACACACTATTAAATGCCCACTCAAACAACCACCTTACATGCCGATCGGATTGGCTGGTTAAGAGAATAACTTTTCAGATAATTATTTTCTCTTCTAATTGGAATCAGAGATATCTTTTACTTGTTAAACTACTATATCTAGCGACTGATAGAATTTTACTTTGGATGCGATACTTAGCTAGCGTTTTAACATAAATTTGATTGAAACTTGAAAAAATAAGTTTTTGAAGATGAGATGAGAAATAATTTTTGAAAGTTGAAATTGTATTTGAATATGTATTTTACTTGAAAAGAGTTTAATTTTTGTGGATAGAAAACTTTGAAAACTACTCTAGAGCAGTTTTTCCGGATTTAAAGATTTTCAAAATCTGCTAAAAAATTGTTAATATCTATAAACAAATATATATTTAAAAACAAAGATTGAAAAAAGCTCCCAAAATATGGCCGAACAGGAGCTTAATTTCCTAGGAGGAGTTTTAACATCGACCAAACTCTATATATCTTTTCCGATAAGAATTTATTCGTGCTCGTATTTATACTATATTATATTATTTATTATGATTATATTATAAATTAAGATAATAATATATATTAATAACTATAATTTAGAATTAAAAGTTATATCAAGTATTCATTAGATTGATATATACACTGGGAGTGAAAAAGTTTTTACCTTTCTTCTATTCCGTGTCTTCGCATGTTGACTAATGGAGATACATATATAATCATCCCCACTGGTATTTATAATCTAAAATCGATAAAGAACGTAATTATTTACATTTGATTATGGGACAAATGCTTTTCATCCATGAATTGTTATGCTATATATAATATTTCCCTCAAATAGTAAATAGATTCTAGTAAATTTTATTCAACAAGATTGAACTTTATTTTTTCAGGTTATCGGCTCCTACTAAAAAAAATTTGTACTGTCAATATATAAAAATTAAATTAAATAGAAAATAATTCAATTGGATGTAACTAATTATACTTAATTTGTTTTACAGATTACACCTTAAAAGTATAGCTCGAAATGAGTTGTTATTTTTTCTTAGCAAAGGACCTTCCACAGTGTCACAGTCTAATATAAAAACTGAAAAAGAAAAGAAAAAAATATCACTATATATAAGTAAGGGAACGGTTCGCCTCTACATATTAAAGTTGCTTAGCGTAACTCTTCACTCTCATTTGGCTCTTCCCCAAATCCTAGGCAAACGTGAAACACCGGTCGGAGCTAGTCGGCGGCGAAAGAAACATGGCGATTTTGTTTCAAAGTTCAACTAATTCCATGTTATCCCTCAAAATTTTCCTCATTTCGACTACCGTTTTATCTGCTGCTATTATGTTAAAGCTCTCTGCTCCAGCTGTCACTGACTTCGCCGTCAGTGAAGTTCCGTCAATTTGGAACGGCGTCATTTCGTGGCTTAAGCCTCCGTATCTATACCTCGTCATCAATTGCATTATCATCACAATTGTTGCCTCTTCCAAGTTGCAGAACAAGTTCGATGAGAACCCATCTCCGGCGCTGACGGCCGTTTCGCCGGAGAATTTGACCCAGTTTCACCCGATTAAGGATGTAAGGCCGTCCACAGACTACTACTCTCCGGTCCTTCATGACCTGAACGTCGCCGTCTTGAAGAATCAGGCGGTGGAGGCGAGGCCGATGGTTTACGAGTATCCTACTGCTGGTGTTTACGATGCAAAGGTCGAGAAAGTTCCGGAAGTTATTAATCCGTACGCTCAAGTGGATGCACGTGTATCGGGGAAAGATACATCGTTCAACGTGAATGCTTTTGTTGCTGACGGAGACGAGGTCGTGATCTCGAAATCCACTCGGGCGCCGGTGATGAGACAGGACTCTTTAGATTATTCCGTTGTTTCTGGATTTTCGGCCGAGAAACCTCCAGCTTCTGCCAGATTTAGTCACCGGAAAAATGTCAAATCCAGTCCCGAAGGTAAATTCAAATTGCTCATTTTTTTCAAGGTATATGTCTGTGTGTGTAAGTTAATTCAGGCACACTAACAGCTAGGCTGGTCGGAACAGTGAGTAGGTTCTGAATAATTGTTGTGTGCTTTACATCTCCGGCGAAATCAGTCGATAACGGTAACTTGTGGTTCAAATTGTTACCGTTGGAGTTGGGCGGCTAGTGGATTATTAGGGCTTTTGTCAGATTTTAGAAACTAGTGGTCCTTATCCAAAGCACTTAGATTTTATTTTAAATTTAAATGTACTTGTAAGATTCCTAATTAATTGACGCTCTTTACTTGATGGACCAGTTTATTAGCAAAATCTGAGCTGACTTAAGGAACAGTTCAAAATGGATTACGGATTTGGTCTCCGTAAAGTCGAAAATTATCCCGTAGAGAAACGGTGGAGACTAAAGGAAAACGACAAACACATGACTTAAAATTTGCAAACCTCAATACTGATTTCGCCACCTCACGGCTCACTCTTCCATACGATAAGCCCAAAAGTAGTCATGTATATCATTTTGTGCTTTCTCATCCATAACCAATGCTTTGTCCGTCACTAAAAATAAATGGATTTACGTAATTACGTCATATGCATTAGTATAATTTAATATGTAATAGCAAATTAGTTGTTAATTCAAATATACGCTCATCTAATCTCTTAAGCTAAATAGTCAGTTGATGTACAATACATGTATATCTGTATATAATTAATATGTAACTTAGTATATCGGTTAGAAAAAATAAATATTGAATATGGTCGGCTGTTTGTGTAATAATACCAAATTTTTAGTTATATTTGAATATAATTTACTTGATTAATTTTCTTTTATATCGTTAGTAATATCATAATATATACTCAAAAAATTAAGTGACTGACTAGATTTGGTGATACAGGTGGAAAGAAGACATTGAAAGTATCAAAGCCTAAACGGCAGGACACGCTGGAGAGTACGTGGAAGACAATAACAGAAGGGCGAGCAATGCCGTTAACGAGGCACTTGAGGAAATCTGACACGTGGGAAACACACGGTGGTCGCAACAACCCGGCTCTAACCCCACCACAGCAGAAGATGAAGAAATCCGAGACGTTCAATGATCGTAACACCGCCAACTCGCCGCTGCTGACTCCATCCCCTGGTTCAGGGAAACTTAAGAAAGAGCCATCGCTGAGTCAGGACGAGCTCAACAGGCGAGTTGAAGCTTTCATTAAGAAGTTTAATGAGGATATGAGGTTGCAGAGGCAGCAGTCGTTGCAACAGTACACAGAGATGGTCAATCGAGGCGCACATTAGCAATTTCAGATGCTGTTTTTTGCACATAAACGGAGAGAAACTCTCTCTTTTTCCCCATGTTTGATGGCAATAGCGAAAAGTAATCTTTTACTTCTTTTGGACAATATGGAATTTCATGGCTTTGACATATGATCGTATAAACTTTTCTTTTAAAACAATTAAAACGTCTAGTGTAACGAATGAATTAGTTCGTCTTCTCCCATTTTGCAGAATTACCTTTACTGTTTTCTTGGACGGGAACTTTCCTGTCCTAAGCTTGTCCACTTTGGTCTGTGCAGAGTGCATTAAGCAAACAAATGAGCAATTTAGTAAGGAAGCTTGGCGAAAAAACAGAAAAGCTAGAACTACTTTGCTTTTCTGTTCTTTGCTTCATTTAATCATGGAAGCTAAGTTAGCGCGATGTAACAGTAAAAGAGTGTGTGGCATGGCGGAAATTTGAAAAATTAAATTTATTTAACGGAAAAGGTCCGGAGCGGGTTTAGAAGGCTGTCCGCTTATGTGGCTGCCATGTAGGATTAAAATGGCTTGTGTGGAGGGCTGTTAGGTCGAAGGACATTAGTGGACCATTGTGCTAACGGGGAGGATACTTTTGGCTCAGTTTACTAACGGAGGATAAAAGTGTGCTATATACCATAGTTTAAGGATATTTTTGGAGCTTTTTCGTTTATTCAAATTTAAGAAAGGACAATCCCCTCACATAACACTTTTTTGTGTCATGCCATGGATGAAAGCATCACATGATTATGTAGTGACTGCTAAAAGAGTATATGAGCTTTTTGGAAGATCGATAACGATAATGAAAATCACATTAAGTTCCGTGCTCCAATTTTCTTTAATCTAAGTTAATTAAGACAAAATTATATAAGATATTTTTCAAGAAAATAATATAAAATATGAGATGAATCATGATATTGTACTAAAATATTCAATAACAAAAATAATAAAATCGCATAAAAATATTATTAATAAGCCATAATAAAAATGAATATAATTTAAAATTATTAAGTTGTTAAAATAAGTACGACTAATAAGTATTATTATTTGCATGACTAAGCACTAAAAGAAAAAGTTAAGCATTTTTTCAAAACCATAAAAAAACTAAAAAATAGATGGTTATTTCTGGTACAATTGATTTGAAATTCTTTTGTTAGCCATAATATTGATTTGATTTTTGGTTTGGACTCTTGAGTTACTAAAATTTATGGAGTATAAAATGTATTGGAGCATTCAAAAATTATAAGTCAAACTTAAAATAATACGATAAAATACAAAATTTAAAAAGTTTAAGAAACATTTATAAATTACACTACAATAAATACTTTTATGTATTAAAAATATATTTAAGAAATTTATACATGTAATGTCAGGTTGATTTGGTTTCGGTTTGACTTTTTTTAGTTAAAACAAAACTAAACTAATTATGGTGCGATTTTTTTCCCCAACACCAAACCAAATCAAATCGAACCATAGTCGAATTTTTTTCTCTGTTTGATTCGAATTATCGATTTGGTGCGATTTGTCGATTTTCTTTGTACACCCCTAATAATGATTGTGAGATAATAATCATATAAACAGAATGAACAAAAGTTTTGGAGTATAAAGGGAGCATTTCGTTTGGCTAATGGAGGAGTCAACTTGCCCAAAGCGCTCTTGTCAAGTTGTGTTGGATGAGAGAAAAAAGGTTGAAGGGAGAGTTGACTCGGAAAACTTTCATTAGCTGTTAGTTTGTTATTAGTAATATATATTAATACACAATATTTTGTCCTTACCTGAATAATAAACATGTTTTCCCTCGAATCCAGATAACAATTGAATTTATATGGGGTTTTAAGGATCCGTGAACTAAAAGATACAAAAGGTTTTTAGGTTGAGGAAAATAAAGATAAAGACTCAACAATTGCTGTTAAAGTAAATAATCGCAGAATATAGTATTGCTTAGAACAATTGTGCTTCATCCCTCACAAGAATTTAGAGAGATCCCCTTTTATACATTCTGATTAAGGGTAAAAATAAGGTAGGTAAATTGATTACATCGTGGATCCCTGTAATTACGCCTTAATGGCCTGAAGTGGTTGAGAAAATCACGTTTGGGCGAGATATCCGGCGACGCTTGGTTATCCGTTACGAGTCCGGCTTCCGACCTTGTGTGTTTCTCCATCCGGTGGTGACTCCTATCGAGCTCTGTAACGGTCTCGAAATGACTCGACCTCGGTTGTAGACGTGGCCGTCGTTCTACCTTGCATCCAGGTCGGGTTCGATGGCCCCGACTTGCTCCGGACCGGACCCAACCCGGTCGGGCTCAAGCAAAAAAGGGTATCACCCAATACAGATAGTCCCCTCGTTTATTAGAGAGTAATGATAATAAACGATATGACCGGTGACGTGATGCCCGTGACGTATGGCCATACGCCAGGTGAAAAAGCCATCGAGTGCTCTGACCACGCCTGCTGCAGGTATTTAATGCTTCTCTTAATTATCTGTCGCTTCGTGTCTGTGGCTTCGCGATTCGTGCCACCGCCTCATGGAAAAAGTATAAACGACCCTTCCAGGTTCAACATTTCCTATCTTTCTCAAATTCTGCATTGGTTGTATTTTCTTTTCGTCTCTTCGTAAAGCTTTAAGAAATGGCGAAAACTTCACAAAGTGTTCCTTCTAGACCAAGCTCGGCCGCGAGCCCCGCTAGATCTGATGAACATGCACCAGAACCCCCATTGAAAGCATTCACACCGACTGGTTGCTCGGTATCTGCCGACTTCCAGGTTGAAAACCCATCATCGGTCCCGGGCCGCGGCGAACCGGCATCGGAGTATATTAGTCTAATCACTCCCGGTTGCCTAGACCGGGTGAGGGCTGAATGTAGATGGGAAGGGAAAGACCTGGTCGCCCCTTCCCGTGACGAGTCGATTATGACTCACGTTGA